AGGTATGAGCAAAGCTGCCAAGTGTCTTCCTGCCCGCTGCTGTCAGTGCATTCACCCAGCCCAAGATGCCCAACGCCACTTAAGCAGCCTTGTCCACTCGGCCAGCTGTTTTCCGCAGCTGTGACACTGGAAGGCACATCAGTGGATGAAGGGTTGAAGCAAGAATGGAAAAGTAGTGTGGGCAAAAACTAAAACAAAACAAAACAAAACCCAGCTACTGGGGACTTCCACGGGGGTGTAAAGAGGAAGAAGTTCTAAGGAAGCTTCTAGACCATCAGAAGTTCCTTTGGGGGCCAAGGCTACCTGTCTCTGCACATGTGTTTACACAACAGTGCGCACATGAATGTGGAGGTCAGAGGTCAAGGTCAGGCATCCTCCTCTATCACTTTCTACCTTATTTTTCAAATAAAAAAATGGATTTATTTATTTTATGTGCATGAGTGTTTGCCTGCATGTATGTCTGTGCATTGTGTGTGCCTGAGGCCCACAGAGGTCAAAGAGGGTGTCAGATCCCTGGCACTGGGGCTATGGATGGTTGTGAGCCACCCTGTGAGTGCTATGAACCAACCAGGTCCTCTGCAAGAGCAAGTGCTCTGAACTGCTGAGCCATCTCTCCAGACCTTATTTTTCAAGACAGTGCCGGGAACCATCCCCCGGCGGCGGTGGATGGGTCCTGCAGAGGGTGTAAGGAGTCGGTGGGAGAAGGATGTGAGCCAGGCCATGGTGGTCGGGAGAATCTTGCAGCCTGACTGACTAGCAGCCAGAGTGTTTCTTTATTTATACAGAACTTAGTTAGCAGGGATACATTCATGATGTTCCAAAACATAGATCATATCGTTTTTGTTTTTGGACATGTGTTTCACTTCCTTTTGCTCATCTTTTAGTCATCATTAATAAACTATGACAGAACAGAGTTATTATTTCCAATCATTTCCCCTCAAGTTTTGACATCATTAATAAAGAATTATCATTCTCACTCATTAACCCCATAACCCAATTTTTGAGAATCTAGAGGCATATGATAGCCTGTGCTCAGGCTGGTTGTTTTGGTTGCTTCAAGGACACTAGACCAAAACAAAAATCTTCAACCACCCTGGGCATTTTGCCATGTCCCAAGCAATGTATTATTAACTCTTAGTGGTCAGAGTGCCCAGGAAAAATCCTCAGACTAAACCTGATCTAGTTATTATTCAAATTCTGGCATAATACAATGTTCATATTTATATCTTTATAGAATGTCTAATCCTGGCATTCTGTTGTTCCTTGGACATATGACATTATAGTGGCTCTACATGAGCTAACTTCTAAGAGAGGGAGGTCCTAACACCTCATACTTTTATCTTTCCACTCCACACTTTGCTCATCAATTGTCTTTGTGTGGGGCAGTTGTATGCCACATAATTGTCTGAGTGTACAGTGGGAAGAGCCTTGTAATCTGAACTGTGGACAGTTCCTCTAGTCCACTGAATCTTATTGACATTTTAAATTTACTTTGTTTTGAATATCTTGTTCCTGTGTAAGTAGAGGGACAGATGTTTCAAGAATGTCTCATAGCCTCATAAAGAGACCTATGGCTACTTTATGTGTCACAACCTCCAAGGCATAAGGAAGACCTTCAAGTAGATAAGGGTATCTCCCTCAAAGTGTGTGTGTGTGTGTGTGTGTGTGTGTGTGCGGGGATAGTATGTTCAGGACTTTCCTGGATAAGCTTAGAAGCAGCATTCCTGGGAGAAGGCATAAATGATTCATAAGGAATTTTCCACCAACCCAACATCCCAAAATTGTACAAATATTAAAAGTGCCCCAAGTATGTAACAGGTGGAGGTGAAAACCAAAGGTGGCATGGCAGCCATCATGTGGCTCAGCTTTGCTGGATCTTTGTCAAGCAGCTGTGCTGGCTTGTGACTTCTGCCATTCCGTTCAGATATGGCTGTGCCAAGACAGGGTCTCTCTCTGAATCTGGAGCTCATCAAATGGTTAGACTGACTGGAGAGCCAGCTAGGGAAATTTCCCCCCAGGCATGTGCCACTACATCCTGGCTTTTCACTGGGGCACTAGTGATTTGAACTCGGGGCCTCAAGTTTGTACAGCAAGTGCATTACCACTGAGTCACCCCCAGCACCCTCTGCCACTGCCTGTTTCGGTGTTCCTGAGACAGTCTAAATTCGCTACGTAGCCCAGATTGACTGTAGACTCACAGCAATCTTCCTGCCTCAGTCTCCTCCGTGTTAGGGTTACAGGCATGTGCCAGCACACCAGATACAGGCTGTCTACCTGCTACTACTCACGCCCACAATGAGTCCTCTCAGACAGTGGATTATGCGGAAGATGGTGAATGTTGAGGGGGATGTCACCAGGGCGACAGATGCGCAGCTTTGGAGATTCCTGTCTCATTCTCCACCAGCCTCAGAGTTGAGTATACTGAAGCTACTGGTTGGGCATCTCCTTTGCCTACGCCAAAAATCATGGTGAGGTTGGAAGGGGCAGTGATCTACAAACCAGGGTGAACAGAGCAAAGGGGAGTGAGCAAATACTCTTTGAGCTATCTGCTTATGTGACCCCTTTATGCTTAGGACCTTTGTGGGGTTGGCCTTGTGCCCAGTTCTTCTCCCTTGCTGCACTCAAATAAACGCATGTCTGCATTATTCAATACTTGACCCATAGATTTTTAATGTCTCACATAGCGACCGGGACACTTTGTGTGTGTAAAGCTGGAGACCAGCCTTATTCATCATCCTGAACAGTCCACTTTGTTTTCTGAGGCAGGGTCTCTCATTGGGGTCTGGACTTGCAGATTAGGCTAGGCTGACCAGCCAGTTAGCTCCCAGAATCCTACCAGTCTCTACCTCCCCAGCACTGGGATTACAAGCACACACCACATACCTGGCTCAAATTAAGTGGCAAGCACTTTACCAACTGAACCATCTGCCCCCAGCCCCTGCTCTTTAAAAAAATAATTACAATATAATGACATAATTTCCCCCTTTCCTCCCTCCAATTCCTCCTCTATCCCACCTTACTCTCTTAAACTGATGGCCTAGTTTCTTTGATTGTTATTCACACACACACACACACACACACACACACACACACACACACACACGAATATATAAATACAAGCTGCTGAGTTCATTTAGCATTGCCTCTGTGTTTATGAGTTCAGGGCTGACTGCTTTGTATTAGATAGGCAATTAAGGGAGCTGGCCCCTGGGAAAGAGCAATCCCCCTCTCTCGGCTGTCCTTATTTGTCTATAGTTCTTTGTTTGGGGTGGATCCCCATGACCCCCTCTTATTTTAAAAACACAGTCTCATAGAGCCCAGGCTGGCCTCAAATTCAATCTGCAGCCAAGACTAGCCTTGAACTCCTGATCTCCATAACTCTGCTTCCCAAGAGCTAGGGTTACAAGTATGTGCCACCGCAGGTGGTTAAGGACCTCTTGAGTGAATGAACAACAACAAAACCCTCCAGGGACTTCATTCACAAAAAAAGAGAGCCACATACACACATGGAAGAGTCTGGCACGCAGGTAGGAAGGAAAGCTGATGAACAGGAAGGCTTTGGAGGAAGAGCTGATAACAGACAGGTGTGAGATGCATGACACCCCGGGGAGATGCTGATAACATCAATGGCTAGAGCATGGATGGGGCAGGGGCAGGGGTGCTTCCCATCTCAGGCTGAGGTAGGGAGAAGGTAGGAGGCAGGGCGGGGCTGAGAGATGGCTCCTGTGCCACGCCAAGGATGGGCACAATCATGTGTGCACTGTGATGACCGCTGCAGAGAGACAGATGGGATCTGAGTTTTGGGAAGCTCAGTCGGGTGGTTGTGAGAAAGATGGCTGGCAGTGCCAGGGCTGAGGCAACAGGCTGGTGGCTGTGGAATACTAGACTGGCAGGAAACGTCCGTGGGAGCTCTGGGGGAGCAGACGCTGAGATGGTTATGTGGGGCTGTGATGCGGGAAGTGACAGAATTATTTCCCCCTTCAGGCGTCTCGACTGGATGGACTGTGCCCTGTTGGTTTAGGAAGACAGAGGGCCAGTGTGTAGAAAGAAAGAAAGAAAGAAAGGAAGGAAGAAAGAAAGAAAGAAAGAAAGAAAGAGAAAGAAAGAAAGAAAGAAAGAAAGAAAAAGAAAGAAAGAAAGCCTAAGAAAGTGCTGGACACTGAGCACCGCCCTCCACCCCCTCTGTGGAACAAAGCCCACAGACCTGATGTAGTGTTGTCTGAGGATGTCTGTGGAGTGGATTGGAGGGAGGCACAGACGGAGAAGGGACCAAGGAGTGTAGGAGACAGTCAGTCCTGCCAAGGAGGCTGGGCCTTTCTAGTCTAGAAGAGGAGGCAGAAAGGATGTCGTGGGGGTCTAACAGAAGGAAGAGGTTCAGCCGTGATGGGATCGCCAAGGGCTCCACACACGGCTTCAAAGAGGAAAACTTAACTGGGTTCCTGGGAGAGAGGACTGGACACAGTTCTCGCTGACCGGCCGGAAGGACAGGCGAGGAAACAGGCTGGTGCTCCAGTGAGCCTGTTCCCACTGTAGTGTGAGAGGCCCTTCCCTCACAGGCTCTCGGGGTCCTGGACAGCAGCTACAGAGGACCTGCCCCTGGGAGAGGGGCTAAGGATGGACATCTGTAAGCACAGTACATTCCAGGAAGTGACTCAGCCCCTCCTGCCTGGTCACCTATAAAAGGGTTTTCTGAGATGCTCACACTTTGGGGTTATTTTGTGCTACCAGTCATACCCTAAAGTTGGCTCTGTCTGGTGAGGGAGAGGGGGCAGGGAGGAAGGAGAGACGCTAGGATCTGCCCTCGGACAGGGATCCCCTGAGCCTTTCTAGGTGCCAGGGATCATTTTAGGTCCCGAGGCCACGACAACAACAAAACAGACCCACTGTCTTCCTTCTGGCAGGGGTCAGGGTGGGGTCTCCTAGCTTAGGGTACAGGTGAGGCCTCCCGGGGCCCTTGAGGGTGGGTGACCTCAGTGGGTCCCTATGTGTGCCCCTTACAGGTGTTCTCTGTGGCGCCCCCGTTTGAGGTGAATGGCCTTCCACGAGCTGTGCCTCTGGGCTTGCCCTACCAGGACTTCAAGAGAGACCTCTCTGACTACCGAGAACGGGCCCGACTGCTCAACAGGGTCCGGAGGGTGGGCTTCTCGCACATGCTGCTCACCACCCCACAGGTCCCATTGGCTCCCTTTCAGCCTCAGGCCAATGGGAAGGAGGGAGAGGAGGAGGAGGAGGAGGAAGAGGAGGAGGAGGAGGAGGAAGAAGAAGATGAAGAAGACGAAGAAGAGGAGGAGGAAGAGGAGGAGGAGGAAGATGAAGATGAAGAGGAGGAGGAGGAGGCAGGGGCCCTTGGGGAGGTGCTGGGGCCTCGAAGTGGTTCTAGCAGCGAGGGGAGCGAGCGGAGCACAGAGCGGAGCCAGGAGGGCGCCCCATCCACACTGCTGGCTGACGATCAGAAAGAGGCCAGGGGCCGGGCCTCCGTGGCGGATGGGGACCTGGAGCCTGAGGAGGGATCCAAAACGCTGGTGCTCGTCTCCCCTGGTGACATGAAGAAGTCGCCAGTCACTGCCGAACTGGCCCCTGACCCTGATCTGGGCACCTTGGCGGCCCTCACCCCTCAGCATGAGCAGCCCCAGCCTACTGGAAGTCAGCTAGATGTATCGGAGCCGGGCACCCTGTCCTCCATCCTCAAGTCTGAACCCAAGCCCTCAGGACCTGGAGCAGGGCTTGGGGTTGGGCTGGTGGCCACTGGTGGGCTGGTGGCAGTCACCTCCTCCCCCTTCACCAAAGTTGAGAGGACCTTTGTTCACATTGCAGAGAAATCCCACCTCAATGTCATGTCTTCCGGAGGGCAGGCCTCCAGGCCAGAGGAGTTTAGCACTGGGGGTGAGCTGGGCCTGGAGGCGCTCTCTGAGGCGGGCATTGCAGAGGAGAGGGCCCGAGTGCCTCTGGAGAATGGCATGGCTTTGCCAGGGCTGGATGGAACTGAAACCGAGAGTTGTGCCCTGTCTGGTCTTCCCGGGGAAACACCCTCAGAAGTGGTCACAGACTCATTGCCCAATGGCCCAGCCCTTGCTGATGGGCCAGCTCCAACATCCCCACTGGAGCCAGTCACCAAGAAAGGGCCCACTGTCTCCCCCAGCCGCCATGCTATGCCAGGCTCTCGCCCCAGGAGCCGTATTCCTGTCTTGTTGTCTGAAGAGGACACGGGCTCAGAGCCTTCGGGCTCACTGTCCGCCAAAGAGCGGTGGAGCAAGAGGGTTAGGCCACAGCAGGACCTGGCGCGGCTGGTGATGGAGAAGAGGCAGGGTCGCCTGTTGCTGAGGCTGGCCTCAGGAGCCTCATCCTCCTCTAGCGAAGAGCAGCGCCGTGCCTCTGAGACACTCTCTGGTACAGGCTCTGAGGAGGACACACCTGCCTCAGAGCCCACAGCAGCCTTGCCTAGGAAGGCTGGGCGGGCACTGACCACCCGGAGCCGGATTCCTCGCCCCATCGGTGTGCCCACGCCTGCAGAAGGGCAGCAGCTTCCTGGCAGACCCCACGGTGCAGCCTCAGCGTCTGACTTGGCTATCACCAGCAGGTGAGAAACCCTGCCGGGACTCGTTGTGGGCAGAGTGGCCAGAGAAGTCCTCCAGGGATGTCATAGAACCAATGTTAAGGACTATGACATCCTCCGACATCTCTCGGGTCTACCAGCTCCCATCTGGGCACTGTGTTACTTGTGACTCAAGTGTTAGCTCTGTCACTGGGCACAAGGGAACAGGAACAGCATTACTAGAGGGGGATACGGTGAGGTGGGACCAGGGGAGGCTGCTGGAGACCAGCAGAACCCACACACAGTCCCTAGTTCACATGGGACATTTGAAACAAAAGGGTAAAGCCTTGGGCATCCAGTAACTGGCATGAAATAGTATTTTGTATTGATATTAACGTAAGCATATTCTAGATTAGAATACAAAACCCATGGATATTTTAAAGATGACACATGGCCCTTAAGAAAAACCTGTAGCAGGCTCCTCCAGTCACAGCCCAAAAGGCCCTGCACTGCAGGATGGAACACCAGGCCTGTTTACTCATCTGTGCCTGACCTCTTCCACCTTACCCAGCTTTGATGCCGCAGATCTCTAGGGCTCGATGCTCAAAGTCATTCTGAAAATGTCCCCTTGTCCCCTACCCACGTCCTTTTCTCTTGCCCTCTGCCCCTCAGCAGGCTCCAGCTTCAGAAGCCCTCAGGGTCGGCCACTGCTGCGGACCTCCGTCCCAAACACTCCTCGAGCCGGGGTCCTGGCCCAGGTCGCGCCCAAGTCTCCAGGCCGGCAGCGCCCCGCAGTCCCGGCCTCCCCGCCGCCTCCACCGCGCGCCACCCCAGCGGGTCCCCGCGGAGCCAGTCCCTGTCCCGCAAAGAGAGCTCCTCCGCGTCGCATCAAGCCCGGCCCGGAGCCCCTCCCCCTCGGGGGGTCCTCCAGGCCAGATCTCAGCCCGAGGCCTCTCCAGGGCCCCCCAAGAAAGGACCCAGAGGGAAACAACCGCAGACTCAGCGCGCAGCAACCAAAGGCCGGGCGGCAGTCTCGGAGGGCCGGCCCGGGACCAGATAATGACATCCGCCCGCGGCTCTCTGCGGCGCCCCCTACCCTCACCCCGGTCCCCACCCGCAGCCGGCCACACTGGAGCAGCTTCCAGCACAGCCTTACGCGCCCGCGCGCCACCGCGGCCCCAGCTTCCCGCCTGCACCCACCAGGACGCACACGTGAGCACATGTTGCGCCCTGCAGCCCAGCCAGCCCACTGACCCCGGAGTTGGTCAGTTGTCTCGGTTCCTCTCTCTGCGTCCTCCCTCCCTCCTACCGCCCCCTCTGCAGGGACAGGCTCACCGCAGATCCTCTGCCCCGGGAAGGCTCAGCCACTCACCGCCCCGCTTTTAGGGCCCGTCCCCTTCATCCACCAGGTCTTGGCTGATCTCTACGCCCCCCACCCAAGAGGTTTACATCTGCTTACACCTCCTGCGGCCCATCTTGTCCTCATCCCCATCTTCTTCAGCCTCCAACCCTACCCAACAGGAGAAACAGCCTCAAATTCCAGATGTGTGCAGGCTCTGGCCTGCCCACAGTCTCCTAGGAGCCATGGTGTTCATGGCAGGCCAAGCTGGGATTGGGGAAGTGGGACCCGGGGGTCATTGGCTTATTTAGGCTTCAGGGGACACCTCTGGTCTGGCTAAAGTCGGCTCTATGCGAAGCACAGGGCATATGATTCTTGAGAGGGGGTTACTCCCGGTGCCTCTGGGGAACAGAAATACCTTTCCTGGATAGAAATGAATGGGGCCTCTAGAAGCTCGGAGCTGCCTCTCTGGGCAAGTGTCTCCCAGCGGGAACCTGGAATGGGGCTTTAAAAAGGTTACTCACTTCTCTGGTCCTCTGGTCTAGTGCTCAGGACCCCTTACCATCAGGAAGTCCTTCCTGCTGTCTAACCTCAATTTTGCATCTTCAAGTTTCAGTCAACTCTCGTCTTTCAGAGTTCCATGCAGGTGGAGGGACTGGTTATCACCTTCTGTGTGCTGGTCATTTGAGAATTCAGGGACTCGGTTCTGGTCATCCTGCCACCTCTGCTGTGGGCAGTGGGCTGGCCTAGGCATCCTCCTCCTCAGTGGGCAGAGGAAGCAGGATGAGGCGAAGTGGCTCCCCGAGGCAGAAGGCCCTTCTCACTTTAGACTGTGTGTGATGCTAGCTGGTGCCCACCCCAGCCCCACCCCAGTTCACCCTGGGCCCCTCTTGCTCTGAGCCAGCCCACACAGCTGAGATGCTCTGTGCCTGCATTTTGGCTTCTGCATTAGCTCGCCCACCTCATCAGGAGCCTCAGCTGCTAACATCTGGGGCAAGCGTCACTCTGGCTGCAGAAGGGACAGGCAGCAGCCCCTCCTATCTGGGGCAGGGACTCCCTGCAGGCCTCCTTTAAAGCACTCCCAGCCTCCATCCCCCGTTCTGGCCCTCCTGTCCTTCCCTGAGCCACAGAGAGCAAACCAAGACATTCAGATGATGAGGAAGAAAGGCAGGCCGCGGTGTGCCAGCGGTCCGGCCGCATCTGTACCCAGGATGACTGACCGGAAGCAGCTCGGTGCCCGCTGAACTCCTCAGGGGGGTCAGCAGGTCTGGCCAGTTGCTTCCACGGGAAGAAGGCAGCTCTGCAGACCAGCCCGGGGAGGACATCAGGGTGGATAGTCTTTGAGGTCTATCCCACGCTGTGCAGAAGCTCCCAGAACACTCAGGAAACCTCTCGGATTCAGTTATCTTTGTCACCCCGAGGCTCCCCTCTAACTGCCCTCTAGTCTAGCAGAGGGGTAGAGGGCCCACTTCCTCCCACCCAGAGCTTTTATGAATGACAATCAGCTCATGCCAGGTGGGGACCAGGGCATGACCCCTGGTGCCCAGGCCCTGGGCCTGCTCCTTGCCACCAACCGAACCATGAATGTAGGGCCCCCCTCAGTCTCATTTCTGCTCTAGGACCAACAACACTTTGGTTTGGAGATGGGAGGAAAGGGAGGCCTGAGAAAGCCCCAGGCTCACCCCACCCCCAGCTTCAGCCAGCACTTGAGCTGGCACAGATGTAAAACCCAGTCTACCCTTGTGACTCCAGACCTCCACAGGGCTCCAACCAACCTCAGGCCTCTGCGTCAATAGTGTCATCAGGCTAGGGGGAAGGAGGGACTGAGGACCAGCAGAGGTGAGTGGTGAGGGGGCCAAGTGGCTCCTCTCTCCAGGAAGGAACCAGGGCAGAGGGCACCACATCTCCCAATGCCCACCCCTCACCCCCAGCTGAAGCCCTTTCTTGAGAATCATCCATCCTTTGTGCTAGGCCCTTCAGGTTCCTACCCCTCCTCTATGAGAGTATCACACCACCACCACCATCCCTCATGTCCCAATCCTTTCTGCTCATGTCACTGGCTCAGATGTGGGGTGTGTTCACCTTAATATGCCTCCCCCCACCCAGTCGTACCGTGTGCAGAGGGGTGCAGGAGAAGGGCCCTGCCCCAGGCACATGGCTCTCTGGCTTCCCAGCTCCTCCTGAGGGGCCCAGCCTGCTCAGTCTCCTGAGCCCCTTGGGCAGGTGTTAGGGGACAGGGAATTCCCTCCCCCTCCCTGGGAAGCAACAGAAGAATGTTTACATGCCAAACAGAATGTAACAGCCCTTGGCCACCCCTCCCAGTCACTGCATGGCCTCTGCCCACCCTGTGACCGCCCACCCCCCTGACACCAACACCTTGGAAGAAGCTGTCACAACCAGATGGGGTCTCCAAAGGGAAGTAGCCATTACACCATTAAAAAGCCTGTGGACCTTTCTGTTGGCCTGGACTCTTTTTCCCTCTAGGGAGGGCAGGGCAAAGCCCAGCCCCTGAGGGCGGGGGTGGGCAGGAGAGAAGAGACAGGATGGTACCAAGTGGGCAGAGACGTCATCTGCACAGAGAAGGAAGAGGAAGTTCAGCTTGTCGGGTGTGGGTGATTTGTTCAGGGTCTCACAGAAGGAAAAGTGTCCAAGCGAAACTTGTACTCAGCTCCCTGGTTGTCCCTGCGGAAGGCTGTAGACTCTCCATTTGGCCTGGCACAGAGATAGGAGAAGCAAAACTATCATTGCCCTAAAAGAAGCAGCTAGAAGTGACTGTCTGGAGAGGCAAAGGCGGAGCAGCTCACAGGCACGCCACAGCAGAACCCGCCCTGACCACCACCTGTGACTCGGCCTCGCACAGCTACAAGTTTATCCTATGGATACACTTGGGGGACGACACAAGTTCAGAGTCACCCCGTGCCGATCTTCGTGCAGCTCTGCAGAGCCTTGCCTACGAATCTGAAACCCAGGAAGTTGTGCAAACAGGGAGAGTTCGCCTGGGATGGTCCCCATTCGTTCCATATCCAAGCCCAACAGAAGAGCCAGGCTCAGTGGCCTCAGGCCTGTAATCCTGGTAGCCACAGGACCTAAAGCAGGGGGAGTTTTTGAAAGCTCAAGGCCAGCCTGGACTACACAGAAAGTTCAGGGCCAGCCTAGACTAAATGTAAGACTGTCTCAGAAAAGAAAGAAAAAGCCATGGCAAGCTATTTGTATTTATTAATTTCACTTATACATGTTTTCAGTGGAATGACAAAATTTTTGAGACAAGGTTTTGCCAGGTAGCCCAGGCTGGCCTCAAATGTGCCATCCTCCTGCTTCAACTTCCCAAGTGCTGGGATCACAGGTGTGTACCACTATGCTTAGTTAGGTGGCGATGTTAACGTCTTTGATATGGAGACACCGCTCTTGACCCTATTTATAATATATGGACTATGCATGGAATTTCTTTTTTTTCCTTTAAAAAAAAAAAAGTATTTCATCTATCTTTCTTCTGTGATGGCAATGGTTTTGGTAAGAGATTGTGGTCCAGGAAAAGAAAGGGCTCAGGAGTGATCTTATTGGCCATTGTTTGGGGTGGTCAGCAAAGCAAGGTCCGTGTGTATGACAAGGACTCCACTGTGGGGTACTGTGAGACTCGAAGGAAGTGCTCATGTTCTTATAGACCAGTCTCCACAACTAAGACAAAGCGATGTGTGAGGCCATGAGGCTCTTGGAACACAAGGCAGTTGGATGCTGAGTGTCTGTAGCCCTAAGGGGGTGGGCTGGATGAAGGGAGGTTGCCATGGGGTGAGACAGGAAGTACCCTTTGTATTTTGAATCCTAAATTCACCATAAGTGAGTCTTTTCACTTAGTGGACAGTTAGTTTCTCCCTGAGGCCTGGCTCTGAGCCACACCTGGGAGGGAAGTGAGACCATCCAGGCTTGAAAGCCTCTCCCTGCCTGGGGGTGCTGCGCTTGGATATGCAGAACCTCAGCATTCCTCTAACCTGAATGCCAGTGGGCTCCGGGGCCTTCGGCAGGGTGTACTTTCTCTTTCCTTCTTGTTTAACATGTCCAGAGCAGGACATACTTGGAGTAAATGCTAAAAGCATATCAAATACAGACAACTCCTGTGCATGACCCTGACCATCGAAAGATCTGTGAACGGCTTGGTGTGTACCATCACGGACCTTTTTTATGTTTATAATAATACCTATCTCTCTCTGTCCATATATATTTCTTATAAATAAAAGAGGAGCATATTATAACTACTGTTCAGAAATGTGACTTTTATTCCCAACAGTATGTGCTGAAATACACTTCCTCCCCGCCCTGTGACGCAGGATCAATCCAGAGTCTTGTGCATCTAGGCAAGTGCTCTCCTGCTGGGCAGTCTCCAGCTTCACTCCATTTCAAAACGGTTATTATTAATTTATAAAATATGCCGGGAGGTGGTGGCGCATGCCTTTAATCCCAGCACTCGGGAGGCAGAGGCAGGTGGATCTCTGAGTTCAAGGCCAGCCTGGTCTACAGAGTGATTTCCAGTATGGCCAGGGCTACACAGAGAAACCCTGTCTCAGGGAAAAACAAGTATTTTGTTGTTATATAATTTACATACAGCTTTCCAACTTAAATTACACAACTCAGTGTGTTCACAGTTGTATAGCCGTGACCACAATCAATTGCAGAGCATTTCCATCATCCACAGAGAAACTCCCTGCCCATTAATTAGCATCTACTCCATTTCTACTTAACCGCATAGCCTTAGGCAGTCACTAATCTGTCTATAGGTCCACCTATTTGGGGGCTGGAATGTAACTCATTTTTGTAGAGTGTTGGTCTACCATACACAAGGCCATGGGTTTGAATCCTGGCCCTGCATAAACTGGGTATGTTGATACCTGCTGCAATCCCAGCACTCAGAGGGCAGAAGGATTAGAAATCCAAGGTCATACTCAGACAGGTAGTGAGTCGAGGCCAGACTGGGTACAGAAAACTTTATCTCAAACCAATAACAACAAAACCCCAACTGCTGATTTTAGACATTTTATATACATAAAATCATATAGGATCATTCTGTGATCTTTCAGTTAGCATAATTTCTTCCCCTTTATAATTTAACAAATGATATTCTACTATATGGACACATGGCATTTTACTTTTCTACTCATAAGTTGATGAACTATTTTGATTATTACAAATAATGCTACTACATGCAAGTTTTTGAATGTGTTTCATTACTTTGTGTGTGTGTGTGTGTGTGTGTGTGTGTGTGTGTGTGTGTGTGTGTGTGTATGTGTGTGTGTGTTGAATTGCTAGGTCATGTGATAATGCCACATTTAACATTTTGAGGAATCACCAATTTTCCATTTTTTTCCATTTGTACCAACAGTAACAATGGCCTCTGTGTTCTTTTTAATGACTATATAATAATGTCACACCACACAAATGTTTTGCATTTAACTTAACCAGTTCCCTACGGGCTTCTCATCATACTGCATCTCACTCATGCCAAAGTGAATATCATGGTTCTGAAGTTCCCTTAGTCCTGAAAATGCTTATCTAGGGATTCCCAGCACAAACCAACGGAAGAAAATAGTATTTTCTTCTATTTTTAAGTTGCTTATTATTGATTGAATGAAAAAATGCCACAGATTACATGTTAATTATGTTGGTGTCCAGCCCATAAATGATTTCTCAGCCTATTTCTTTTCTGAGATAGGGTTTTGTGCAGCCTAGGGTGGCCTCAAACTCCCTATGTAGCTAAGGGTGACTTTTGAATGCCTTTTCCTCCCACCTCCGCCCTCTGAGTGCTGGAGCTATAGGTGTGCTCCATCAGGCTGGCTCCCTCCTCCCGTTTAGTTGGTAAACTATCTGGGCCATTGCTGGGCTGCACCTGCCCAGCACCTTTGTCTGGCACCATACCTTCTCAGATGCAGGGACGAACAGGTATAGTGGTTGGGAATAAACTTTCATTTTCCGTGTGGTATGTCAGACTGGGAACATGAAGAATGACTCCTTGTTGGATGTGCCTCTTTTAAAAAAAATCAAGTGATTATTTTTCATGTTTGGAAGTTTTCAAGGGAGCTGGGCTGTGGTGGCACACACCTTTAATCCCAGCACCTGGGAGGCAGAGGCAGGTGGATATCTGTGAGTTCAAGGCCAGCCTGGTCTACAGAGTGAGTTCCAGACCAGCCAGGGTTATAAAGAGAAACCCTGTCTCAAAAAAAAAAAAAAAAAAAAAAAACTGTTCAAGAGGCTGGAAAGATGGCTCAGCAGTAAGAGCATTGACTGTTCTTCCAGAGGACCTGGGTTCAATTCCCAGCACCCACATGGCAGCTCACGACTGCCTGTCACTCCATTTCCAGGGGACCTGAGGCCCCTTTCTGGCCTCTGCAGGCACTAGGTGTGGACAAGATGCGAAGACACATGCAGGCCAAAACATCTATACACATACAAGAGCTAGAGAGTTTTATAACTAAAAAGCTTTCAAGGTGGTGACGAGTTGGGTGGAGTGGTAGCCGCTAAAGCGTGAGGATAGGCAGGTCCTCAGAACCCACATAAAGCCAGAACTTCCTGAGCATCTGCACTCCCAGCCCACCTGCACTGAGATGGGACCAGCTAGCAAGGCACACATAGTGACAGACAGCAAGAGACGGAAAGTGAAGAGTAATGTCCAAAGATGTCCTGACTTCCACATGTGTGCCTGCACACACACACACACACACACAGAGGCACACATGCAAAGATTTAAAATTACCTTTCAAAATACATATGTGCAAGATAAAACAAACTAGCAGGTGTGGTGGCGCACGCCTTTAACCTCAGGAGGCAGAGGCAGGCAGAGCTTTGTGAATTCAAGGTTAGCCTGGTCTACATAGTGAGTTCCAGCCCAGCCAGGGCTATGTAGTGAGACCCTGCCTCAAACAAACAAACAAGTAAATGAATGAATAAACTGTATTTTAGGAAATCACTGTGTAGCAAAATAAATGTACACAATGTATTTCATAGGGTACAAAAATTATAATATCAAATACAAAGAAAAAATGAAAGAAAAGCAAACAACCGAGACCACTGTGTCAAAGAAGCCGCTGGTGAAGGGGACGAGAAGACCCCCGCGGCGGCTATGCCCACGCTTCTCAGCTGCCCAGTGTCTCGTCTTCATGCCCGGTTTCTGTCTTGCGTGCGTCTCTATCCACTGTCCAGCATTCACGAGGAAGATTGGCTTATCATGTTTAAATAGTGAGGAAATGTCAGCCATGAGCAGGTCATCAGGGCTGGTAACACGAGCAGCTGAATGTAACTAAGGAAGACTCGGGGTGAGGGACCGGGCTCCACATGGAGGTTGGGAAGATCTCGGGGTGAGGGACCGGGCTCCACATGGAGGTCGGGAAGATCTCGGGGTGAGGGACTGTCTCCACATACCTCTTGTTGGCAAGATGAAACTATTATTTAGACAAATCCTTCTGCCAGAACCAATTGTTGAATGATTGGAGTCAGGAATCAGATCTGTGGAGGTTCAAATGCATGCCCCTCGGGGATGGTAGCTGCAGGCTGGAGGACACCTTTCTCCTGGGGCGCACTGGCTCCTCTGGATCCTTCTCCGAGCTCACAGATTACCCGCTTGCTCCCCGTCTGGCCAGCACGATGCCTGGGTGTCTTTCTTCCGCTCTGCAGCTCTCAGCATATCTGAAGCAAAAGGAACCCCAGCTCAAGCTTCTCAGTAAGGGCTGACTGGGCTTCACTGCAAACCCTCGCCTCGCCGCAGCTCCTGCATCGCAATGTGCCTCTTGAACCAGATTCTGGACCAGCAGGAGTGAGCAGCTGAACAGGACAGGACACTCCCCGCTGAACCTCCAGCTGAGCAATGTGCACAGGCGTGAGTGGCGGTAGCTCATTGGTCACAGGCACAAACCAGGGAGTACAAGGTGGGGGTAGAGACTGAGCAGGCCCGGGTCCTGCAAGGGTGGGCTACGCCATGTAAGACAGTAAGGGGACTCCAGAGACCCTCTGCTCAGGCCCTTCCCTAGGATCCCAAGACATGCCGAAGTCCAACTCAGTTGTAGGAACTACCTGACGCCCACAGACAAGAATCTGTTCATCATGCGGGCCGTGGTGGCACTCGCCTTTAATCCCAATAGTCGAAAGGCAGAGGCAGGTGGATGAGTTTGAGGCCAGTCTGGTCTACAGAGTGAGTTTCAGGACAGCCAGAGCTGCACAGAGAAACTCTGCTTTGGGGGGGGAAAATCCCCTGGTACAAATCTCCCAACTCTCTCTAAGAAAGCTTCCTCTTTTCTGTTCTGTGGTCAAAGACAAGACTGAGACAGAGACCCAGAGAGAGGCTTGGCTTAGACAAGGTCATCTAGTCTAGATGGAGACATAGAACAGTGGGAGGGGCTTTTTAAAAAGATTTATTTTTGCCGGGTGGTGGTGACGCACACCTTTAATCTCGCACCAGGAGGCAGAGGCTAGAGGATCTGAGTTTGAGACCAGCCTAGTCTACAAAGTTCTAGGACAGCCAGGTCTACACAGAGAAATCCTGTCTCAAAAAGCCAAAAGAAAAAATATTTATTTTTATTTTGTATGTGTGAATATTAATGCCTGCACCTATCTATGTACACGGTGTACATGCAGTGCCTGTGGAGGCCAGGAGAGGGCACTGGATCCCCTAGAATTGGAGTTACAGATGGTTGTGAGCCACCATGTGGGTGCTGAGAACTGAACCCAGGTCCTCTGCAAGAGCAGCAAGTGCTTTAACCACTGGGCCATCTCTCCAGCCCAGAAGGAGCTCATGTCAAGTGGAGGGGACACCCTAGAGAAGAAACTAAGATGTCCCCGGTCACTGGGTACAGGGTCTGCTGAGATTTCCCATTGGCTTCTCATGGAGGCCAGAACAAGTGCTAGCCAGGACTGAAGCCAGGATCGTTCACACCTGTAACCTCAGCACTCCACAGCTGAGGAAGGAGAAACACCCTGGATTCAAGGACAGCCTGGGCTACACAGTGAGACGCTATCTCAGAATGAGGGAGGGAGGGAGGAAGAAAAGGAAGGAGGGAGGGATGGAGGGAAGGAGGGAAGAAAAGGAAGGAGGGAGGGATGGAGGGAGGGATGGAGGGAAGGAGGGAAGAAAAGGAAGGAGGGAGGGATGGAGGGAGGGATGGAGGGAAGGAGGGAAGAAAAGGAAGGAGGGAGGGATGGAGGGAAGGAGGGAAGAAAAGGAAGGAGGGAGGGATGGAGGGAGGGAGGAAGGAGGGAGGGATGGAGGGAAGGAGGGAAGAAAAGGAAGGAGGGAGGGATGGAGGGAGGGAGGAAGGAGGGAGGAAACATAAAAGCTGAGGTCATGGCTAAAGGAGAGTCAGGGTGTCCCTTTTCCTTTCCCAACAGTATTGAGGCAGACATTGATGGTGATGAGTAGAGAATATGCAGGCTCTGAAAACTCAGCCAGGAGCGAGAGGGAAATAGTCTACAAGCCCAGTCTCAGCAGCTCACTACACATATACACACACACCTACATACACTTACACACACACACACACACACACACACATACCTACACACATAGACTCAATACACACACACACCTACACACACTCAATACATACATACACCAACCTGCACACATACATACCTACATACACTTACACACGCTCAATATACACATATACCCACATACATACACACACTTGCACACATACACTCAATACACACATCTCCCCCCCCCCCCACACACACACACACACACACGTGCGTGCACTCCAATTAAAGCTCTTATCAGACTCGGTGCTTCATACCTGTCATCCATATCGTCTTGCGCCTCTAAACACTGTGGTCATTGCCACCATCATTCTCAATGACACTGGAGAAGAGCCCTGCCATGTTGAGGGGGTCAGGGAAGATGAAGCCAAGGTACAAATTCCTCTCTGAAGAAAAGGCTTGCAGGTGTAGATTTACCTATAGCCAAGGTATAAAGAGGGAGAGGTGACCACTGTGTTATTTATTCAATGATAATAATAGTAGTAGTAGTATAACAATAAATCAATCAAATAAAATGCCTGAGTTAGGCACTGCAGTTCTTGCCTTGAATCCCAACACTTGGGATGTAGAGACAAGATCATGAATTCAAGGTCATCCTCAGGAACATAGTGAGTTTAAGGTCAACCTTGGCTACGAGAGACCCTGTCTCAAAAAAACAAAACAAAAACAAGAAAAACCACAATAACTAAATACAACGGCAGTGTGACGGTCCTGCTGAGACCTTCACTAGCTCCCATTGCTGGAGGCGTGCGGTGGTGTGAAAGAAAATGCCCCCCAAAGGGCGTGGCATTATTAGGAGGTGTGGCCTTGTTGGAGGAAGTGTGTCACTGTGGGGGTGGGCTTTGAGGTTTCCTATGCTCAGGATACCATCCAGTGTCTAAGTTGACTTCCTGTTGCCTCTAAGATGTAGGACTCTCAGCTCCAGTACTACATCTTGTCTGCACGCCTCTATGATGATAATGGACTGAACCTCTGAAACTGTAAGCGAGCCGTCCCAGTTAAAAGTTTTCTTTACAAGAGTTGCTGTGGTCATGGTGTCTCTTCACAGCAATAGAAACCTTAACTAAGACAGGCGGAAAGTCCTGGTCTTCAGCTGAGGCTGTTTGACCTCCCAGGACTTAGCCCCTTTCCTCAGCCCACTCATGACCCCTCTTCAACAGAGGCACACACACACTTTCCTCAGGTTTGTAACCTGGCTGAACCTTCCGTGGATCCCCTACGGGCAGAAACTTGTCTGAAGCATCTCTGCGTCCTGCGGAATGCCTGAGATGCATTAGACTAAGCAAGCATCTGTCCTTTTAACCCTGCACCAGCCCCTCTTTCCTGCCTATCAGCACACACCAAACAACAACCCGACCATCACCGTGTGCCTATCAGCACACACCAAACAACAACCCGACCATCACCGTGTGCCTATCAGCACACACCAAACAACAACCCGACCATCACCGTGTGCCTATCAGCACACACCAAACAACAACCCGACCATCACCGTGTGCCTATCAGCACACACCAAACAACAACCCGACCATCACCGTGTGCCTATCAGCACACACCAAACAACAACCCGACCATCACCGTGTGCCTATCAGCACACACCAAACAACAACCCGACCATCACCGTGTGCCTATCAGCACACACCAAACAACCCCACCATCACCGTGTGCCTATCAGCACACACCAAACGTTGCAGATCGAGTCCCTCTGAGCCATCTCTGTGAGTGTCTGGGGCAGCCTGGAGCTGACTGGCACAGATCCTGTCAGCAGCTCGGGTGTGTGGGACTGTGTTCCTGGGTTTCTTGGCTCTCTGGCTTTGTCATTGTACAAACCCAACAGGTCCCCACCCTGTCTTTGGTTTCTTTATCTGTTCAAAGTGGGAGATAGATCAAACAGTGCTTTGTAAATTTTTAAAAAATATAGTAGATCTTTTCTCAAAGAATACCCAAGGGGGCTTTGGCATTTGGGGAATCAGCTTCAGTGTCTGTTATTTTGATGAAACACCATGACCAAAAGCAACTTGGGGAGGAAAGGGCATATTTCACCTCTATGTTGTAGTTCGTCACTGAAGGAAGTCAGGACAGGAACTCAAACAGGGCAGGATCCTGGAGGCAGGAGCTGATGCAGAGGCTGTGGAGGGGTGCTGCTTACTGGCTTGTTCAGTCTGCTTTCTTATAGTTATAGAACCGAGGGCCACGTGTGCAGGGATGGCACCACCCACAATGGACTGGGCCCTCCCTCGATCAGTGATTAAGAAAATGCTCTACAGACTTCCTGCCTACAGCTTGTAGCTAGAGTTTTCCTGCCTGGCCCACAGTCAGGATAAATCTCTCTCACCTGCCAGCCCCACAGCCTCTCAGACCCGACCAAGTAAACACAGAGACTTATATTGGTTACAAACTGTATGGCCGTACCAGGCTTCTTGCTAACTGTTCTTACAGCTTAAATTAATCCATTTCCATTAATCTATACCTTGCCACGTGGCTCGTGGCTTACCGGCATCTTCACATGCTGTTTCTCATCATGGCGGCTGGCAGTGTCTCTCTGACTCAGCCTTCCACTTCCCAGCTTTATTCTCCTCCTTGTCCCACCTACACTTCCTGCCTAGCCAATGGCCAATCAGTGTTTTATTTATTGACTAATCAGCAACACATTTGCCATACAGAACATCCCACAGCAACAGCTGATAGATATTATGAGACATTTTCTCAGTTAACTCTAGCTTGTGTGAAGTTGACATAAAACTGGCCCAGTAGATGAGAATCAGTGGAGCTTCTCGAAGGTGCTACATGGATTCTTGGCAACTGGGGAAAACAGTACTCCAACGGGTCATCTGGGATGATCTTGAGGAGAGGCAGATTGGATGGCCAAAGAGTGTTCCTGAGACCCCAAGAGGGGCCAGCACAGTCCCAGGGGTGACTTAGGTTGGGGCATCCACTCCAGACATGGGTGAGGGGTATAAGGAAAGCTTGGGGGGTTCAGCAGATGGCTCCCTTACGTAAGTGCAGCCCTCATCCCGAATCCTGGGCTGTAGGCCAAACTATGCTGTGACTGCAAACAGACAAGATTGACCTAAAGCTTCACAGGACAAAGGCCATCCAGGACAACAGGTGCTGTGTCCAGGGCACCTCCTCCTCTAGATGGCCTTGACACTATAATAAGTAGCTAGGGTCCCAGTGCCTTCTTGGCACCCAGCTACCCTCCTATGTTGGCCCTTGGCTCTCTTGCCTGGCTTCTGAGGTCCACCGTATGAAGGCCAGATCCATGGACACCGTGACCTCTGATGGATGGTAGCCCTTTCCCGTTGGCAGTAGGCTAGTAATGTAAGATCCCTAGAAGTGTGGATGATGGGGGAGGGCTCAGGCCTGGGCCAGCCCCTGAGGGCTGGATTCTGGCTACAGACTCTCCACTCATCAGTACAACCCCTTCCACTTCCAGAGTCCAAAGGTCCATGTGGTGAGCAGGTTGAGCTGTGCTAGACACAACAGAGGGACCTCTGGTGGGTGGGCAGCATGGGCTTTGAGGAGCTCCTGGACAAGGTGGGTGGCTTTGGTCCCTTCCAGCTACGGAATCTGGCACTACTGGCCCTGCCCCGAGTGCTGGTACCCATGCATTTTCTCTTGCCCATCTTCATGGCCTCCGTGCCTGACCACCACTGTGCCCTGCCTGGTGCCCCTGCCAACCTCACTCACCAGGACTTGTGGCTGGAGGCCCATCTACCCCGGGAGACTGATGGCAGCTTTAGCCCTGCCTCCGTTTTGAGCATCCCCAGCCTCTCCCCAATACCACCTTGGGGACAGAGGCACACGGCTCTGGGAAGCCCGAGGATGAGCCCTCCACAGTGCCCTGCTCTCAGGGCTGGGAGTACGACCACTCAGAATTCTCCTCCACCATTGCAACTGAGGTACCTGAGCCAGGGTGAGGGATGTGTGAATGGGTTGGGTCTTTCACTGCCTTGGGGCTTGTTGTGTGGGTGTGAGATAACCGTCCTGGGCTCTCAGAGTTTTTGTTTGCCTGTGTAGAGAGGGTCTATGGATATAAAGCCCTGAGTTGAGTTCTGAGATTGAACTGAGAGGTTCATTTGCTCTGATTCACTGGGAGATGATGAAGGCAGGGGAGGGAGAGCTAAGGGGCTCCCGGGGGGGCTAGTGGGGGGGGTTGGAACAGAAAGCTGAGAAGGATGGAGAAACCGCAGAGGCCTCCATTTCTCTTCTGTCCCTCATTCCAGGCCTAGGTCTGAGATTTCCATAATTCATCCAGAGAGGAAGGGTGGGTGGAGATGGAGGCTCCCCGGGGGGTGGGGGAGAGGCAACAGGATTCCTGGGCAGTGGTGAGGGTCCAGGGAGAGGGAGTCTTCCCTTTCCAAAGCTGAGGTTGCTAGCCAAGGATGGGGGTATCTTCTGGAACATCAAAGTTGCCCTGGAGCCTGGAGAGGAGGGCCTGGCTGGAGAGGGGCTCATACACACCAAAGGCCCCTCCCTTGCCTGTCTGCAGTGGGATCTGGTGTGTGAACAGAGAGGACTGAACAAAATTACATCCACCTGCTTCTTCATCGGTGTGCTGCTGGGGGCTGTGGTGTACGGATACTTGTCGGACAGGTGAGCTGGGTACCAGACAGATAAGGGACCAGGCTGAGGGGACTCTCTCTCAGTGCTGGGACGCCCCAGTGGGATCTGACCTTGCATGGCCCTGTGCAGGTTTGGCCGGCGCCGGCTTCTACTGGTGACCTACGTGAGCTTCCTGGTGCTGAGCTTGGCATGTGCAGCCTCAGTCAACTATATCATGTTTGTCCTCACCCGCACCCTCACTGGCTTAGCCCTAGCTGGGTTCACCATCATTGTGTGGGGTTTTAAAACAGGGGCTGGAGAGGTGGCGTAGTTGGTAACAGCTCACACTGGAGGACCCAAGTTCAATTCCCAGGACACACGTCAGGCAGCATGCAAGTCCAGCTCTAGGGGATCAAATATCTCTGGCCTCTAAGGGCACCTGCACACACACACACACACACACACACACACACACACACACACACACCCCAAGAACAGACACAGACACAGACACAACACACACACACTCAAACACACACACCAAACATAGACACAGACACACAACACAACACACACACACCAAGTACAGACACAGACACACACACAACACACACACACACACACACTCAAATACACACACCAAACACAGACACAGACACACACACAACACACACACACACACACACACACACACACACACACACACACACACACACACTCTCAACTAAAAATAATGAAAACAAACAAAAGAACAGGGAGACTGAAGGAGGGGCTGGGGCTTAGCTCAGTGGTAACCTAGCATATACAAAGCCCTGGGTTTATCCTCGGCACTGAATGAACCAGTCGTGATGGCATATGCCTCTATTCACGATACTTAGAGAGGCATGAGGATCAAGGTCATCCTCAACTACATAGGGAGTTTAAGGGCAGCCTGGGTTACATAAGACCCTGTCTTGGGGAGGGGGAAGTAAAAGAAAAAATATGGCTGTCTTGGAAAATATCTCAGTAGGTAAAATACTTGCCATGCAAAGCCTGAGGATCTGTGTTCAGATCCCCAGCTCCCATGTAAAAAGCATGGCACAGAGATGTGTACTCATAATCCTTTAGGAGATAGGGAGGTAGAGATAGGAAGATCTGGGCTTGCTGGCCAGCCCGTCTACCCAAATCAAGTTCCAGGTTCAGTGAGAGACCCTGTCTCAAAAAACTAAGGTGGAAAGTGATTCAGGAAGACACATGATGTCACCTGAACCTCTGTGTACACATGTGCACACATACAAACATGTACACATGCATATGCCACACACACACACACAGAGACAGAGAGACAGAGACAGAGACAGAGACAGAGAGAAACTAAGAGATGCAGAAACAGAACCAGAGACCAAGAGACAAAAAGGTATCAAGAGGCCTGGCGGTGGTGGCGCACGCCTTTAATCCCAGCACTCGGGAGGCAGAGCCAGGTGGATCTCTGTGAGTTCGAGGCCAGTCTGGGCTACCAAGTGAGTTCCAGGAAAGGCGCAAAGCTACACAGAGAAACCCTGTCTCGAAAAAAAAACAAAAAAAAAAAAACAAAAAAAAAAAGGTATCAAGAGAAGTCAGAAAGACAGAAGCCAACAGAAAGATGCCACAAGACACAGGAGCAGAGAGCAAGACACGAGGAGCTAGAGGCTGAGCCTGGGAGAGGTGGTGAGTACCAGGCCAGGACTGAAAGGTGATTCAGAGGGTCCAGTGGAGACACAGAGACAAGCAGGGACACACAGACAGGAGAGTCAGACACCACCCAGTGGAGGCGGGGTTTGCCTTCAAGGGCCAGCGGACATGGCCAGCAGGGTGCTGGGAACTCAGGCAGAAGAGTGGCGGGCCTAGCAAGGTGGGCATGTTACTGCCCCCAGCGGTGAACTATGTAGCAGTTCATCAGTATCCTTCCGCTGGAAGTGTTGGCTGGTGCTGGGTAGGGGCTAAGGGTTTTGGTTTTTTTTTCATTTTACATACCAACCCCTGTTCCCCATCCCTCCCCTTCTCCCATCCCCATCCCCCCCCTCCCCAGGGGCTAAGGTTTTGAGGGTAAGACCAATTCAGTTGAGTAAGGAAAGGATGCCTTGGAGGACTTAGGGTGGGGTGGGGGAGAGGTAGCTTTATTTTGTTTTGTTTTTCAAGACAGAGTTTCTCTGTGTAGCCCTGGCTGTCCTGGGACTCACTCTGTAGAACAGGCTGGCCTCGAACTTAGAGATCTGCCTGCCTCTGCTTTCCAAGTGCTGGGATTAAAGGCATGTGCCACCACCACCACCACAAGGTAGCTTTTAAATTGGGCTTGAACAGGAGTTCCTGGGGCTGGGCAGTAGGAGATCTGGGGGTGGGGTGTCTTTTCAGGCAGAGGGGACTGCATGCGTGAAGACCTGGAATCTACAGCCTGCGAGCTCAGGAGGTAGAGGTGACTTGCAAGACTTTCTCCCCTAGGTGGGTACCTGAGTCTGCACGATGGCTTCTAACCCAGGGCCGTGTGGAGGAGGCCCAGACATACTTGTTCCGCTGTGCCACGCTCAATGGGAAGCCTGTGGGTGAGGACAGCCTGAGCCAGGAGGTGAGGGTGGCAGTTTTGTATGAGAAAGTGCACAGGGGTGGGTGGGTGGGGACGTTGGGGAGGGTGGGTGTGTCTAAGTGCCCCTTCTCCTGGGTCCACCATATATGACTAGAAAAGCCTTTGCCTTCCAGTGGAGAGAGCCTAGTGTTAGAATAGTCTGCCTGGCTCTGGGGGGGTCATCTCCTTTACTCCAAATCTTCCATGCGTACTCCCACCCCCAGTACTGCTGAGGAGAGAGACAAACACAGAGAGAGCACACTGGCTTCTGAGACAAGCTCTGATGTCACAACCTTGCTTTCTCTCTCACCAGGCCCTGAACAAAGTGGTCGCCATGGAAGGGGGGCAGCAAAGACCCTCATACCTAGACCTGTTCCGAACACCGCAGCTCCGGCATATCTCACTGTGTTGCATGGTGGTGTGGTAAGAGGGGTGTAAGAGGGGCCGAGTCGGGTCTGGCGGAGTGAGGGTGATGGAAGGGGCTGGGTGTGAGAGAGGGGAGTGTAGCTTTGGAGGGTATGAGGATCACTCATGCTCTTGGGGGCAGGGAGGAGAATCTGACTGTCACAGGTCCGGTGGAGTAGGCAGCAGAGACATGCAGGCTCGATTTCGACTCTATGACTTCCTATGTGACCATTCTTATCCTGAGCATCGATTTTTGTGAGACGAACGGGTTGCTGTTCATTCCTGCGTCACAGGGTTGCTACGATGATTAGGGTAAAGGCATTTTGGCCACTGGTAACCTACTTGGGGATTCTGGGTGGCTGGTGGTGAGGGGGATCCTAGGCTGCAGGCTCTGAAGAGCCAAAGGACAAGAGAGGTAGGGCAGGAGAGGGCTCTTGAGGATAACAGGGATTCTGTTCAGGTTTGGAGTGAACTTTCCCTACTATGGCCTGACTCTGGACGTGTCCGGGCTGGGGCTGAACGTGTACCAGGTGCAGCTGATGTTCGGGGCTGTGGAGCTGCCTGCCAAAGTCACAGTCTACTTCCTTGTACATTGCGTGGGACGCCGCCTCACGGAGGCTGGAATGCTGCTGGGGGCCGCTCTGACCTTTGGCATCAGCCTGCTGGTGTCCTTGGGTGAGCTGAGGTCTGGCAGTTTGGCTCTGCCCGGGCCTAGCCTCCGCCTCGAATCCAGGGAGTTCCTGGCATCGGCCCTTTACTACAAGAATCCTTTTCCCTCCAGAGACCAAGTCCTGGATCACTGCTCTGTTGGTGTTGGGAAAAGTGTTTTCTGAAGCTGCTTTCACTACAGCCTACCTGTTCACGTCTGAGTTGTACCCTACTGTGCTCAGGTGAGTTGGGGTCCCAGGCGACTGACCTGCCTTAACGAAGGCATCTGTGGTCACGCACTGCCCTATCCATTCTTTAGCTACAGCCAGATACATTGTGGCTGTTTGCCCAAGTCTTGGAGAACACAGGGAGTTTTATCTTCTGTACTGTGTGACCTTGGGCCAAGGCAGCCTTATGGGGCTTCTTTGAAGAAAACAGTCCCAGGAATACCCATCCTGACCACGGTGTTGCTGAGCCCTTGGGGACTGTCTCTGGGCACAAGGCCAGGGGCTTCCCTCAGATGGCGGCGCCTGTGTGAGCTACAGATCTCCCTTCCACACTATCATCTTGTAGCGGTCCCTGAGTAGCTCTGTCAGAATAGGGTCTCATCCTCTGGAGGGTACTGGTTTAAGAGTTCCTAGTCTAGGTAGTGGGTGAGAAGCTAGTATCAGGGGCTGCCAGCCCAGGAGGGGAGCCTTGTAATGCATGGCCCCCCTCATCCTCTCTTGAGCAGACAGACGGGATTGGGGATCACTGCACTCCTGGGCCGGCTAGGGGCCTCTTTGGCTCCACTGGCGGCCTTGCTGGATGGAGTATGGCTGATGCTGCCCAAATTTGTTTACGGGGGGAATTGCCCTGCTGGCTGCCTGCACTGTACTCCTGCTACCTGAGACAAAGGCAGCCCAGCTGCCAGAGACCATCCAGGATGTGGAAAGAAAGAGGTGTGTGTGTATGTGTGTTTGGGGGAGGTGGGGGGTATTCGTGGGTTCAAATGCCTAAGCCCATGACACTTAGGATGCAAAGCGGAAGACGGTCGCAAAACTACACTTGTGGGAGGGAGTATGTATGCTTGTATGCAAGGAGCTGGGACAAACCCTGAGCCAGCCCTTGTAGGCTCCAGGACTAAACACCATATTCCTGACCCCCTCCTTCCTCATTGTCCTGTCCAGTATTCAGGAAGAAGATACGCCGATCCAGAACTGAGTGAGACTTGAGATAGCCCTCCACAGGAGCTCTACAGGAGCTTGGGACAGAAGGCAGGCTCTTGAAACTGGGACATCACGTCCCTATGCCTAAGGACGGAGTTGCCACTGGCACCTTCTGTATTCATCCTGTCTCCAGTGACAGGATAGCCTCCCAGAATACACTGGGCTACTGGAGATTACAGGCACCCCTCATGCCTGGGGGATTCTGTAAATAAAGATGCCTCATGGGTTGGGGCAGCATTGAGATTTGCGGAGATCTCCAGATGGGGAGCCATTGACTTGCCACTGTTCATCTCCCAAGTGGATAGTGAAACTTCCTCCAAGACAGGATTCATTGTCATGCTCAAACTGAACATGGTGATTCTAGAAATGTTGCTAAAGTCCTATGATTATCTCTAGTACACATGAGGCTGATGGGTAGGCTGTCTACGGTGCAGGGCTAGGATCTGCCCAATTGCAAGGCCGGGACCAACAGATGGAGCTTCTTGTTGCCAGGGTTACCTTTGAAGCAGCGGACTTGTGCTTCTGCTCCCCATCACTGTCTAGGCTCCACAGCTATAGAGCTGAAGGTGTGAGAGTCAACATTTTATTAGAGAGGCCAGAGAGCAGAGACCCGGCAAATGACCTCCCAACACCAGCATTGCTGGGAGAAGGAACCGAGAAGCCAGGCGATTACCATTCTAAGTGGGGTAGCCTATCCAAGTAGGAACGGGGAAGCAAAGAGTTGGCAGAGAAAGTCTAGAGTGGGGTCTACCTCAGAGCCCAGGCCCAGGCCCAGGCCCTGGGATTTCTTCTCCCTCTCGAAAAGACTAGGGAATTCCAGAGCTTCCAGTGGACCATGGAGGAGAGGGTGGAAGCCCGAGTTAGGATGGTCACTCCCATGAATGGCTCATTTGGATCTTATCTCCACTGGGTCATAGATGTAGCAGCCCACATTGCCAATGTTCACACCTGTAGGAGAAAGCCTTGTCACCAGGGGCTTTGGTGGAATGGGTGTTGGGCTGAGGGCTGAAGGGAGAGAGAGGAGGGTCCTGGGATGTCTGACCACAAGGGAAGCTGTCCACACATTCCCATAGGCTCTGACAGCTTAGGATCAGTGTCTGGGGTCAGGCTGCCCACCTTTGGGGCCAAACAGGTATCCATAGCAGGGGATGTGGCAGTAGGGTATGCCGTCATGCTGGAACACAGAAAAAGAATCTCCTCAGCCTGTCTCTCTTCCTACTTCTGGACTCCTTCCTCCCAACGTCACTTCCAATCCCGCCATGCTCACCTCTGCGTGACTCCCAGCAGTCAAGGTCTTCTTGCAACGTTGGCACCTGAGGCAGGGTCGGTGCCAGTTTCTGCCCAGAGCCATCACCTTCTCCGCTGGTAGTGGAGAGAAGCGATGTGTCGTCCATTCGAGGGGCAGGCAAGGCCAACCCCCTGCCTCGTCACCCTCTGCCCTCTGCCGCCTCATCAGTACTCCTCTTCAAGTCTTCTGTTGGCACTTACCAAAATAGACAGGTTCTCCACATCCAGGGCACAGTGAGGTCTCCCCAGTGAATGTCTTCGTGTAGGGAGGGCCTTTAATGGGAAGAGGCCCCAGCTAGAGCCTCCAGCCCCTCTCTTATCCCCAAACCCATTCATCCCCACCCCACCCCACCACAGCCCAGGCAGCCATGAAATCTGCCTTGCTTGAGTTCAAGACTCATTCCACCTACTGCCCATCTCCATTAGGGACCACCTGCTTCCCTGTCACCCCCCAGGGCCTCATGAGCCCACCAGTTCAATGTGGCAGTGTTGGGAGTAACTCAAGCACCAGGAAACCTGAGCTGACACAGGAGTTGGCCGGCCAGGGCAGTGGTGTCAGGTGTTGGGGAACCTGGTGTCACTGCCCACTGTGGGGGGCTTAAGGAAGGATCAGGGACTAGAGAAGCAGCTGAGGAGCTGGCCCATCCTAAGGAGCCCTCCCTCCCTCACTTTGGGTCTTTCTCTCTACTGCTCCGGCCTGGGAAGGGGCCCAGATCCCAGGCCAGCCTTACTTCTGACTAGCAGTCGTCTGTCTTCTCTGGGCGTCATTGCAAAATGAGGGTGATCATGCTATCTGTCCAGTTTACCTTTTAAACTCCTCACATGAGAGACTAGAAATGGACTGCTCAGAGCGTCCCAGGCCTGTGGCGCAGAGGGCAGGGTGGGTGACGTAGTGTCCACTGCAGCCTGAAGGGTCGGGGAGCACAACATTTGAAGCCCACCTTCACTTACTTTTCTTGGCCTGGGGGAGGCCAGCCCTTGGCCTTGGGGGGCTAAAGTTGCTGGGGCTGAGGGAAACTCTGCTGGCAGGGGAGGGAACAGGGAGACTGTAGAGATAGCAACCCACACCACCAGTGTTGACCCCTGTAGAGAGAAGACCCGATAAAGGAGGTCAGGCTCTGGTTCCTAGCCACAGGGAGAGTTGTGTGGCCCCTGGCCCCTTCTAGGCTGGAACTTACCTCTAGGTCCAAAGAGAGCCCCATAGCAAGGCTTGTGGCAGTATGGCCTCCCGTTGTGCTGGGCACAGGCAGAGGGCAGGGGTCATTCAGGGCCAAGGGGCCTGCCTCACAGGCCCTCTCAGTATTGGCCGTCAGGTGCAAATGTGCACTGTAACTAGCCTGATGGGTCTGACAGGGCTGGGTGATAGGCTAACATGTCAGGACTGCCACTGTGGTACAGGGGTTGAGGGTGTGGGTGGGGCACAGAGCAGCCGCTTACCCTCCCTCAAAGCCGTGGGCCAGCAGCATCCAGACTCCCAAATTTTGGCTGGTATGAGGCCTATCAGAGGGGTAGCCCCTGAGGTTGCCTTTGGCAGGTTTCCAAGGCTGAAATTGGGGTCTATCAGGGTGGGGGGGTGTGAGAAGGTTGTCACCCTGATCAGGCCTCACCTCTGCATGCCCGCCAGGGGACAAGACGCTGTGACAGTGCTCGCATTTCAGGCAGAAACGGTGCCAGTTCTTGCCTAAGGAGCTCACTTTCTCAGCTGTGGGGAACAAGGTGGGTCCGGGCTGCAAAGTTCGGTCCAGCGCCAGAGAAGCCCTCCTTTTATCCTGTTAGCTTTCTGGGGGAACCAGCCCAGCCAGTCTCGCTCTCTGGAGACAATGAATAGCATCTCCAGGAGGAAGCTTCAGCCCACCCTGGTGCCTCTTGCCTTAGGCTCTTGGAGGTGTAGCACGCACTCGGACACGGGGACATGGACACACACACACACAAAGGGACCCCGGGGGGCTCACGCTTATCTTTACTCCTTGGTCCCAGCCTCACCGAAGTAAACCGGTTGCTGGCATTGCGGACAAGTCCAGCTCATGGTTCTTCACAGGACAGCCTAATCCAAACAGCAACAATAGGCACCCCGCAGGTAAGTCCCGCCCCTCCACCAGCCCCGCCCACTGTCCAGCTTTGATCTCATCGAGTTGTGGACGCTCATTGGACACCAAAACCTTAGAGCTGAGGGACAGGGCAATTCATCAATTTACTTTAAAGAACTTAAAAGAATGAGTGCGATCCAGACTTGGAGGGAAGGAGCCCTGAGTTCAATGGCTCCTTTCTAGGTCAGTGAAAGCAAGCAAGCAGGGGGCAGGCAGGCATTCTTCTAAGTGGTTAATTCCTCCTTAGTGGAGCGGGCCGGGACCAAGGGGCTGTGAAGCCCACCTTTCTTTCTTTTCCTTTTTTTTTTTTTTTTTTTTCGAGATAGGGTTTCTCTGTGTAGCTTTGTGCCTTTCCTGGAACTCACTTGGTAGTCCAGGCTGGCCTCGAACTCACAGAGATCCGCCTGCCTCTGCCTCCCGAGTGCTGGGATTAAAGGCATGCGCCACCACCGCCTGGCAAAGCCCACCTTTCAAGTAACTCACCCCCTCTGCCTCCATTTTCTTGTTTGTACAAAGAATAGTAACTTGGTAACGGTCTCGTGGGTTGTAATGGGAATTGGGTAAATTAATCTCAACAGTGCCTAGCATATAACTGCTATGCAAGTGATATGAAGTGCTGTGGGATGTTCTGTATGGCAAATGTGTTGCTGATGGGTCAATAAATAAAACACTGTTTGGCCATTGGCTAGGCAGGAAGTGTAGGCGGGACAAGGAGGAGAATAAAGCTGGGAAGTGGAAGGCTGAGTCAGAGAGACACTGCCAGCCACCACGATGACAAACAGCATGTGAAGATGCCGGTAAGCCACGAGCCATGTGGCAAGATATAGATTAATGGAAATGGATTAATTTAAGCTGTAAGAAAAGTTAGCAAGAAGCCTGGTACGGCCATACAGTTTGTAACCAATATAAGTCTCTGTGTTTACTTGGTCGGGTCTGAATGGCTGTGGGACTGGCGGGTGTCAGAGATTTGTCCTGACTGTGGGCCAGGCAGGAAAACTCAAACAACAATGAAGAGTCCTTTAAATGAACTCATAAGCCAGTCTGTAAGTCACCAAATGTGGTCCTGCATACAATCTATGGCTTGCTCATAAGATTATCACGCTTGTTAAATTTGGAAGTTTCAGTTAAATACCAGCCACATATTTCTAACTTAGTTAAAGCCTTTAAAATGTTGTGTAGTCGAAACCCTGTCTCAAAAAAACCAAAAAAAAAAAAAAAATGTTGCGTAGTCACTGATGACTATACAGGATGAAATGGATAGTTCCAACCCAGTGGTCACACAGCTGACACTGATTAAACTAAATGGGTCACAAACAAAAACCCGACCTGAAAATCATGAACCTGGTAAGGGACTAGGAGGGCCTGGGGATGGTGGTGGTGGTAAAGAAAGAGATGAGAAGGTGTGTAGGATGGCAGCAATCAGATATATTACACACATGTATGAAACTGACAGATGACTAATTTAAAAATGGAAAACCCCTTAGCAACCACTGCCCCCAAAGTCTGATAGAATAGATTTAAGTTATAGAAGCATCTTAACTTTTAAGCCAGACTTTATTATAAATACTAAATGTGTTGCCAGTTATTCAGATCAGTCTTTAGATTTTTATTTTATGTGGAT